TTTGTCTACATTAGGTTTATTTACTAATAACAACAATAAGAAAATATGTAAGGACAAATTAATTGTAGGGAACATGTAACAAGGGAATTCAATATTAAAATCACACATTATGGGGAAATTAACAATACATAACGAGTGATATGAAATATAATACTATACAATTTTAATTATGAACAAAGTACTTCAATAATGTGTCATTAGAAGATACAAATTCAATTAATTTTTTGTCGTTGTTGGAGAATTTTGCCTTATGTACAAAATTTACTTCTGAATCCATTGCACGAGACATGTCTAAAACGCAGCGTAACTCAGATTCGACTGCTCTGAAAGCAGTCGGTCAAATACGCAGCTATTGGTGCGCGCGTATTAGATGCGCGCGCATTAGATACGCAGCCTTGGAAACCGCTTACACGAAACTCCATAAGACAAGTGTGCTGCGTATTAGATGCGCACACGCAGCGCATCTATTACGCGTCTAGGAAACCACAGCCTAAGGGAAAACTACATTTTAAAGTTAAATATTATGTCGGCGAACAACGACAAACACAACATTTGTGTAAACAAAACATTATTAACATAAACATTTACATGTAATTTAATTTGAAACCACCTTTTCACTTTTTAGAAAAAACAACATGAAACTACTTTGAACTGTTTAGTACGCAATTTACACTTATTTCTATAACACAGTGAAGTTAGCCTTACGTACGGTTATGGCCTCGACATCCCCTTCATTTCTTAATTATCTATCATTCTATTTAAATTCATTAATATCCGTAAAGTGGTTCAAAATATCAAAATAAAAAACGCGTTTATATATATATACAGTATCAGACTAGTATTTATCCGGCACGCGTTGCAGTACTAAAAACTAACTATTAAATGTATACAAAAAAATATAATAAAATTTAAAAATATAAAATATAAAAATATATAAAAACTAGCAGAGTACCCGTCCTTCGTACGGGGTTGGAATATAAGTATAAAATGCTTATTGCAGTTATACTCAAGCTTTGCGATTGCAATGGGTGGAGGACACAGTTTGATAAAATTTGCTTTTTTAAATTTACAGTACCGTATTCTATAGTATTACACATCTACCATAGCCATAATGTTCTACCATTTTACCTAAACAATAGAGAAAAATAAATTATCAATTCGCAAAATATCACAAATTATTCATGAAATGAAAAACATATACATAACTGTAAACAATCCTACTTTGACAGTTCTCATTGCGAATCACAGTTTTTTGTTGTTGCTTAGTTCAAATTAGCTGTTTTCATAAATGCAAAAAAAATATAGTGCTGCACCCTGTTGGTAAATCTTATAACTTTTTAATGCTTTTCCATATCATAGAACCAACTTTTTTAGTTGAAACAGCTGACTAAATTCTTTAATTCCCTTTAAATATGAATACTCATAAGGTTAACATGGGGAATTGCAGAGCCACTGGGGCGGAGCCCGAAAGGATTTTTGAGATAAGAATATGCCTATATGTTAATCGGGAATGTAAGCTATCATCATGCCAAATTTCAGCCCAATCCGTCCAGTGGTTTATGCGTGATTGAACTTCAAACAAACAAACAAACACACAAACTTTCACATCTATATATATAAAATTCAATGTATGTTTGTATATTTGTATATTTGTATGTTTGTATATTTGTATATTTGTATGTTTGTCCTTTATGGACTCCAACACCACTCGACAGATTGTAATGAAACTTTCAGGCATTATTAAGCATTATTCAAGGATGGTTTGTGTGAAGTTTGGTGCAGATCCGTCAATAGGGCCCCACCCCAGTGGCTCTGGAGTTTCCCATGTTAACCTTATAAGTACTCATATTTAAATGGAATTAAAGAATTTTAACAGCTGGTGCAACTAAACAATTTGATTCTGTGATGTTCAATAGCATTAAAAAGTTAATAGGTTTACCAACAGGGTGCAGCACTATATTTATTTTTAATTTATGAGAACAGTTAATTTGCAACCAAAAGGTGAGTGAGCGTAGCGAACGAACTTCAACCTGGAGGCGAGTTAGCGTAGCGAACGAGCTAACCTGAAGGCAAGTGAGCGCAGCGAACGAGCTCCAACCTAAAGGTGAGTGAGCGTAGCGAACGAACTTCAACCAGGACGTGATTGAGCCATGCGAACGAGCTCATCTTGAAAATGAACGAGCATGTGACATAAAACCACAATAGGACAGGACGACGTCTGTCGGGCCAGCTAGTTTATAATATTAGTAAGATATAAATATTTAAAAATATAATATAATTTTTATAAAGGTACAACAATTACAAACTATTTTCTTTTCAATAATTTATTCACGGTTCTCATGGGGAGTAAACATAACATTTTGGGAAGTTTTACAAATAGGATATATCTTCGATGAGAAATTAACTTTATATATTTGTATTATTAACTACATAATTGTTACAAATACCATGACAAACACACAACAAACACAGATTGAATTTTAATATATAGATAAACTAGCTGTAACCCGCGGGCTTTGCCCCGTTTAACTTCTTAATTTTCAAGATTATCTCGTTCGCATGGCTCAATCACGTCCTGGTTGAAGTTTGTTCGCTACGCTCACTCACCTTTTGGTTGCAAATTAGCTGTTGTCATAAATGTAAAAGAAATAATAGTGCTGCACCCTGTTGGTAATTTTTGTAACTTTAATGCTATTGAACATCACAGAACAGAACCAACTTGTTTAATTGAAACAGCTGTTAAGATTCAATAATTTTATTTCTCATAAGGTTAACATGGGAAACTCCAGAGCCACTGGGGCGGAGCCCGAAAGGATTTTTGAAATAAGAATATGCCTATATGTTAATCGGGAATGTGAGCTATCATCATGCCAAATTTCAGCCCAATCCGACCAGTATTTTTCGCGTTTACTTGTCACAAACATACATCCATCCATACATCCATACATCCAAACTTTCTCATTTATAATATTAGTAGGATTAAATAAACCATCTGTTTAACATTAAATGCAAACTGAAAGCAAAGTCAATGTTTATCCACAGATCTAGGGAATTAAAACGCGTTGTTTTAAGATTGACTGGGGATAAAAAGTAAACATTACACAAACACATTATATATAAATAAATATATGTATATGTACGTGTATATAAATGCAAACATATCAAATATTTAGAAACGTAACACAAAACAACATATAGGCCTTGGAAGGGGTTGGGTTGGGTTGACGACGTGACGGCGATTATTTGAACGCCTTCTATGTGAGGGACGCAATAGTTCATACTTTTGGACCAAACGAACTCGTATTAGAGTTTTGGATAAAACAACCCGATCGAATGGGCCACAGTGAAACGTACAGTCTATTTCATAAGTTTACTCCACAATGCACAATTGTAATTCTGGTTTTGCCTGTACTTTTGGACCAAACGAACTGTTTTACAACTGTTGGACCAAACGATTTTGGACCAAACGAACTGTTTTACAACTTGTGGACCAAACGATTTTGGACCAAATGAAATACTCCCCAACTGGATGATAAAACGATTTTGGACCAAACGAACTGTTTTACAAGTGTTGGACCAAACGATTTTGGACCAAACGAACTGTTTTACAACTTGTGGACCAAACGATTTTGGACCAAATGAAATACTCCCACAAAGAGATGGGCTATCACCGATCCTATTTAATTTTGCCATTGAAGAAGCTCTACAAAAGGTAGCAGAGAAGAACATAGGAGTGAAAATAGGAACCAAAATAAACATCTTAGCCTTTGCAGATGATGTGGTTATAATCACAGAAAAACTTGAAGATCTGAAGGCCTTAACCGAAGTATTTATGAAAGAAACAGAAAAAGTAGGCATAAAAACAAACGATTCAAAAACATTCAAAAGTACATGCACTTTTTTCAAGAAACCTGGATAATACTGAAGAACCAATAGAAATTGATGGCCATACATTTGAAAAAGTCAACAGTTGTAAATGCCTAGGAGTAATTATATCTAACCAAAATACTGATGAACTAGAAATCCAAAGCCGAATAAATTCAGCAAATAAATGTTTTCATGCTTGCAATAAATTACTTTCATCTAAATCTTTGTCCCGCAAAACAAAAATCTTGCTGTACAAAACAATAATGTGCCCAGTTCTCTATATGGATCAGAAACCTGGAAATTAAATAAAAGAGATGTAAAGAAACTAATAGTATTCGAAAATAAAATTTTAAGGAAGATTTTTGGACCAATATTTGAGCAAGGAGAATGGAGAATAAGACACAATAGGGAATTAAGGCAACTGTAAAATAGCACAGATGTAATTGGAGACATCAAGTGCCGAAGAATCAGATGGGCTGGTCATATATTAAGAAGAGGTGAAGATTGTAGACTGGGAAGAGTTTTAAAGGGAAACATTACAGGAAGGCGACCCCGGGGAAGACCTAATCAGAGGTGGAGGAAGCAAGTGCAAGAAGATTTGGAGAGAATTGGGGCAACGGAGGATGATGCGAAAGACCGGTTAACCTGGCGAAGATCTGTTGGTGCGGCCAAATATCACCTCCGATATAAATGGCCCTGGGAGTAAGAGTAAGTAAGTAAGTAATTAAAGAATGTAGCATGGTGCGATATCGATATTTCTTTTTTAATTGCCTGTTGTAAGGATTATTTTTTAATGTGTTGAAGAGAATGTCCTAAATGTTCCTAATTGAAGTCAGCAGTCCTGCCATGATCCAAGGTTTAAGTTTTCTACTTTTTACATTGATATTAACCTTCTTGGATGCATCATTAATAATGGTTTTGATAGTTTTAATTAGATTCGAAGTGCATGTATTAATTTCTCTACAATTTAAAATATTTTGCCAGTCATATTCTGCTAGTTTTTCATCTATAAAAAAGATGAGTAAGGCAAATGGAAATTCTCTTAGTCTGCAGAATTGCTCAGGTAATCGAGACTCATGTTTTGACATAAGAAATACACCAGTAGATCAGTTATGAGTAGTGTTGTGTTGCAGTAAGTTGGCTACAGCGCTGGTGTCCCGAGGTACTCTGCAGCGAGGCAGTGTAGTGGTGGCTGGGCTCGCCTGGGGCAAGGTGCGCTCTATGTTTGATGAGGACCAGCAAGTGGTGCAGCAAGTTACACCAGGCATGGCTACCCAAGTCATTGGCTGGCGCTCACTGCCGTCTGCTGGGGATCTGCTGCTGGAAGTGGAATCTGAGGTACTTGTGTTTGCAAAATTATAGAAAAGGCCTGGTACAAAACCCACCTGTAAATATGGTTTGTTTCTATGCATATTAATTTTAAATTTATGTTTAAATTACAGTTGGTATTCCGTAACCGACAAGTCAATTTAAATTTAAAATTTTAATCATTTATATTTTAGCAGAAACAGATTTAAATTTGCCATAATACTGGTCTACGACTTTCTTTATCGAAGTAGAATTTATCAAAGTAATCCTTTTGGACAAAATGTTAAAATGGGCTAAAATTAAAGTTATAAAAAGTCCTCATAACTTTAGAACGGATCAAGATTTTTTAAAACTAATTGCGGCAGTGTAATCAGCGTAAAATTCTAATTTGAAACTATGGGTCACAACCCTACCTTTACATTTGAAAAAAAAATTTTGTATCCAATATGGCGGATCCAAGATGGTGGCCAAAAATGTTTATCCAGTCAAAATGAAGTACTTACTACACTACAATGATCTGACGTGGTCCGAAGTTGATATCTTAAGAAATGTAGAAAAAAGTAGGGGGGGAACTCATTTAAAATTCACCCTGTATATAGATTTATATAAAAATCAAAAACATATTTAACAAAGTACCCTTTCAGTAATTATTTTATTTTTCATGACGACATGTTTCGAAGACTAAGTCCATTATCAAGTCATATTTACCATAACCTCATTCTTTAAACTAACAAAATTAAAAATATTTTCATATGTAAAAATAATAAAATATAAAATATGTTAACTAAATCTTAATAAATTTTGGTATTCCTTTTTTCATTATACTATATTAATGAAAGAAATGGAAACTACCAAAATAATGAATGATTGTAACCCATATAAAGAGAAAATCCAATACTGGTACAGATATGTAGACGATATAATTTGTTTATTCAAAGGAAATTAAAATGAAGCTAATAATCTACTAAAATATATAAATAGCCTATCATCCAAAAATACAATTTACAGGAGAGATTCAAAAAGAACAAATAGATTTTCTAGATAATACAATCTCAAAAAATAGCAACAGACATACATTTAACATATTTAGTAAATCTACGACCACAGACATCATTATTCCTTACTACAGTATTCCAATCATCCTTGGAGTCATAAAATCGCTACTTTCCATTCAATATCCACAGACTTATTAATATTCCCTTGAATAAAGAAAACTTCAAAAAAGAGAAAAATACCATTAAATACTTAGCAGAGAAAAATGGCTACAGGGCAAAAATGATAGACAATATGATAAAGAAGAAATTGAAAAACAACATACAAAAGCAAAGAAAATCAATGGAAAATGAAGAGAAAAAGAAATATATGTCTATACCTTATAACAAATATATGACTAAAGCAGTAAGAAATACATTTAAAAACTCGGATATAAGAGTAAGTTACAGAACTAAGAACAATATATTCCAATTAATCAATAAAAAAATCAAACACAGAAAATAATGAAGACATAAAGTACAACAAATCAGGAATCTATAAGATAAACTGTAGTGACTGTAGCAATTATTATATAGGTCAAACATCTCGAAGTTTTAAAAAGAGATTCAAAGAACATCTACAAGCATTGAAATCAAAAAATCGAACATCAATGAAGTCGAACTTCGCCGACCATACAGGGTGAATAAAAAGTCAAGACCCCCCCCCCCTCTAATATTTTTCCAAGTAAATATACAGAAATATCCTTTTGGTGGTCGTGCAATCTTAGCAGGAAGTTTCATTTTATGATTTTGAAATTTTTGAGTGTCCCCCCAAAAGGGGGATTTGGGGGGTAACTCAAATATTTTAAATGTAAACCCCCTTTAAGTGACACCTCATCTTGAAGTGTTTACAAAAACTTAAAGAATGGTGAAAACTAGAGGTCGCTATTTCTTCTCTATCCAAAATGGTAGTCTGTCAAATGTTGTAGAAAATCGATGGTAAAATTGGTTCGTAATGGTAATATTGGCTACCATTTTGGATAGAGGAGAGATAGCGAACTCTGGTTTTCACCATTCTTTAAGTTTTTGTAAACACTTCAAAATGAAGTTTCTTTTGATGGGGGTTTACATTGAAAAATTTTTACTTGCCCTCCAAATCCCCCCTTTTGGGGGGACACTCAAAAATTTTAAATGTAAACCCCCATTTTTTGATACTTTGTTTTGAAGTGTTTACAAAAACTTAAAGAATGGTGAAAACTAGAGGCCACAAACTATTGATACATAAACAACTTTTAAAGCGTTTGAACAATTCATAAATGTTTTACTAGAATGCGTTATCTTTTTCTTAGCATAAACTAACATTTTGGAATCCAGACAGAAAAAGCAAAACTTATACAGTTAAGACATCAATTAAATTGAATGTACGCCTGTAATAAATAAGGTGCAACACCAACGATAACTAATTTGTAAATTACAGTGATGTGTTGGTACATAAAAATGATTCAACTATATTGTGGAAATATTGAAAAAACCACAATTTTTATACATCTTTGGAAAATTTATTTATTTTGAAATTCTGTATTTTGACCGTTATTTACGCAACATACTTGCTGTTGGGCTTAAACTGTCACAAATTTATCCTCGTTTAATTATATAAAGTAATACTTTCAGTAAAATCAACTGTTCGTGAAATAGAGTGAAAACCCAAAGGAATGGTTAGATTTTGGCTATTTCGTTAACCAATAATAATCTTGCGGTGGTATCTCGGGGTGGATAACTTGGATTTTATGTTATGGACCCAACACTAACAACAAATCCAAAAATCAGAACTACCCGACCTTTTGCACAGCAACCCCCTATTTTTTTGACATATTTACTGGACTAAAACGTGCAAGAAAATAATAGATTTATATATATATATATATATATATATATATGTGTCCGTGAACGCGATAACTTGAGTAATTTTTGTCCGGTTTTGATGAAATTTGGTTTGAAGGTGTAAAGCAGGATAAACTTGAATGAGTTCACGAACCAGCATGATCCGAGCATGGGAACGGGGCTTTACGGGGGGTTTTATGGGGTAAAAATTGGGTTTTCTCACTTTTGACCCCCAAAACACAAAATTTCCCAATTTCTCTTTAGACCTTTTAAAAGCGCTTAAAAAAACAAATAATTTTGTATATAAAAGTATTTTTGTTTAGTTATTGGTAACAGAGAAAATTAAAAAAAAATTTAAATTTAAAATTCCCTTGTTATTCTTATGGAGAATATTGTAAAATGTTGTAGTTTGCTTGTTTATGGATATATTTTTATCAAACCTGGCAAATTTATTTATTTTATACTAAGCTATCAATATTTTACAAAAAAACACACTTTATTAGTTTCCTTGTAGCAGCAAACCTAGGTACTCGTTAAACCTAATGTTATTTAAATATATTTAATTGAAAATCAATTTAGACAAATGGAAATTCGCTTAGTCGGCAGGTTTGCTGCGGCGGTGTTATCTTACTTTTTCCCGAAATCGACATATATTGTAACCTTCGCCTTTTTAAATTGTATCTTAAATAAAAGAGTTAGGATAGTTGTATGAGTTTATCTTATAATCAGGGAAGTCCCATCTTTAATTTCAAAGAACTAATAAGACTTATGGGTTCGTTGTGAAGCTAGTGAACCTAGGCAGAGTCAATGAAAACACTTGTTTACAAAAATTATTTTATTTCATATGAATACTACTTATACCGTACATACATGAAAAATAATGTCCACTATAAACTACCGTTAGGCCTACACCCTAGCATCATCAAGATAGTTATTTAACTTAATTTCTCCTTGGCCTAGGCTAGTAAGTTACCGTTTTAAATTATTGATTATCAGTACAGTACCTATACATGACTGAGTTGAGCCCTGGTAAAAATATTTAACAATATAAAATGTTTATATAGTCCAAGAATTTGTTATATGCTGGAGATATTAAATCACTAGGTTTGGCTACTTATCAGTTTTTTCCGGTGTTGAAGGTCTACTGTAGTTGTCTAGCAGATAGGCCTAAGTTACGAATTCAGCCTAATAGGCTACAACATCAATTCTTCTCCAGAAGTGGACGAGTCTGCCGTTACAAATCACCGTTCGCCATCCAAGAACGCATATTGCTTCAATTTTTAAGTTGTTACTAGTGCACCTGTTGCTCGAATTCGAGCAATTGCAAAGTATTACCAGCGTTATTTCAAAACAGTCATATTTTCCGATGACTTAAAAGAGTCAACTCAAAGATAATGTAATCAATCACTCCACTCCAGTTATCGAAACTGAAAACAAACGCTCTTGTGTGTAACATGTGTTTACTATGAACAGCTGTAATTAATAAAAAATATTAGTGCGTTTAAGTAAACAAGATCTTTTCTTCATAAGAAATACATTGGGATTTTGATGGCCTGTGGGGCAAAGCCCGAGGACTTTTATTACAGGAATTGGTGAAAGGGGGCATCTACACAAACAATATTTCATGTTGACACATCGTTTGTAAAAATCCGTCCATTATTAACGGAGGAGTAGTGTTTCGTATAAAATCGCCTTCACGTATTATATATAAGGATTACAAATTTTGCATTATAGCTAGAGAAAAAAAAGTCATTCTATTTTAATTTGGCTTTTATCGGACCTGTAATTCTCGAGATATTTACTTTAATAACTTAACTATTTCCCCCTTCTTCCATCTTTTTTCGCACCATAACCGCCAAATTAAAAGACCATTTTTACATTTTTATGGTTTGATTTTATTCTTTATGAAATTTATGCAATTGTCTTCAGAAACATATTTTAATCACTTTCTTCTGACTTAAATTTTTTATTAGACTTGTAATTTACTTGTTAATTGCATTTTTGTCTCGGACTATTTTCTTGGTAAATTTTGCTCCGCAAAACGTCCATGGTGGTTTGGCTTGGACCTTTGTAAATCAATATTTTAAATTAAAATTTTTACTTAATTTCTCAAATTTGTCCGATCATTATGATTTATTAACACAAGTTAGGGAATTTTATATGATTTTATTTGGTAACACTTTGAACTCGATAGGACAAGTAGGCTAGTTTTTTAGATATTCAAATTATTCGATACATCATTATTCCACAATATTTAATTTAATAGATGATTTAAACAGATTTTGACCTCCCCGACAATTCATTACGAAGACTATGTTCAATCAATATCAATCTTTAGATACAATGTTTTGACAGCTGAAAGCTTGAAATATCGTTTTTACTAAATTTTATTTCAGTCTCAATTTGGAATACCCGTTACAATATAAAAATACCCCCGCCGCAGCAAACCTGCAGACTAAGCGAATTTCCATTTGACTGATTGGATTTACACTGAAATGTCTACTTAAAAATATAACATTTATTCTTGATTTAAATAGAATTAGTTTAACTAGAATTAGTTTAACAAGTACTTAGGTTTGCTGCATTAGGGAGGGTAAAACTGTTTTTTTTTGTAAAATGTGAATAGTTAGTAAGAAATAAAAACATTTTCCAAATTTGATCAAAATATGTTCACAAACAAGCAAACTACAACAGTTTACTTATTCTCCATATGAATAACATGGGAATTTTAAATTTACAATTTTTTGGAATTTTCTCCGTAACCATTAGGCGCATAATAACGCTTCAATATACTAAATTATTTGTTTTTTTGAGCTCTACAAAATGGTTTGGAAAGAAATTGCTAAATTTTATGTTTTTTTGGTCAAAAATGGGAAAAACCAATTTTTACCCCATAAAACCCCCCGTAAACCCCCGTTCCCATGGTCCGATCATGCTGGATCGCGAACTCGTTCGAATAGACGTACGTTTACACGTTTGTACCAAATTTCATCAAAATCGGATCATTTTTGCTCGAGTTATCGTGCTGACGGACACACATATATATATATATATATATATAAATATATATATATATATATATATGAATTTGAACGGATGGTGTTTTTGGTCTCTAGGGACCTCAAAACGAAAAAAAAAATTGGTCCCGCGTCCAGGTCTTACCATGAGTACTACGGTAATAGCTTATTCCCTATATGGGAAATTCGCTAAAACACACATGAAGTCATTTCACCATTTTAATTAATATTTCCCACTTATTACAGAAATACTTTTACAATAACATTTCTACATGCATTTATAGGCCTGTATCTATTAACAGTAATTAGGAATAAATATCATGTAAGAAATAAAAATTAAAAATTAAGTCTCTCACCAATTTTAGACACTGAGAAGATACTGAGAAGAATACTGAGAAGACTGTGAAAGCATTTCATTTTATGCACATCTTTCTATAGGTCCAAGCAAACTAAAAAACCTGACACAGGGAACATTAAAAAAAATCTAAGAAAACGTTTTATGGTTTTATTTTGTAGTGTTGGGTCTGCAGAGTGACATACCAAAAGTTGCCAAAAATCGGTCCACAGGAAACCACCTAAAATCACGATTAAAATGGCGGCTTTTCCCAACATTGGACAAATTTGAAAAAAGATACCACATGTCATTTTTTATTCAAAAATATTTGAGATATTGACGTGGGACGGCCACTGATGTTTATTGGGTGGTTAGTACTTCATTTCGATAGGGAAATCATTTTTGGCCGCCATCTTGGATCCGCCATATTGGATATAAATGATAGGTAGGTCAGTAGAGTCTCTAATGAGCTGAGGAATTTCACATGATCAGATGCTGGAGAATGGTAGATGCAAACCACAATGATTTTGAGCATAAAAGTCTAAAGAATTCCACCAAATATGATTGCTTAAATTAACACACTTTTAAAGATAAGTAACAATAATTGTTCAGTCAAATAAATTGAACCACTTTTTCTTGGAAAGCCTAAAATATCTCTCCTTGTTTATTTACCTCTTCTTAACACCCAAAATTCAATAAAACTATTTAAAACATCTGTCAGCTGATAGATCTGTCAGCTCACTACAGTAATGTTAGTTTTTTTAGGATAGGCCTATGTTAAACACAAAGAGTAAAAAAGATGTTTTTAACACTTCTAGGCTAATGCATCGCGAGTTATAAAATGGCGAGAAGAAAATAAAATGAAAGCAAAAGCTATTGAAGACTTGGAAGTTATTCAATCGAAGGCAGCAGAACATCAGGAGGTAAGTGGTTTTATTCTATTCATGAGTTTGAACAAATATCTCCTACTTGAAAAAATAATCTTGCTTAAAACAAAAGTACAGATACATTTATATATTTAGCAAGTGTTGATAAAATTATATGAAAATTAGGGGTCTGCGGTACAGAAAATTTAAGGTCGGTACGGTACAATATTTTGTACCTCGGTTCTCGGTACAAAATCGGTACGGTACGCGCGGCTACCCGTATTTTTGCGGTTTTCCTCTCAGAACTGTATTCAAACCATTATTTTTAACTTTAATACATTGGCATTGCTATGAAAATGGATAGTATCCTACATTCATTGTTTTCTAACAACAATTACTGTACCACACATTATTAAAACAAAACCTTTTACTACTATGAGGATTGTGTCAAGAAAAATCACAGTTAAGATAAAGGCTTTACCTATTTTACTCGGAGATACTTTGAGTAGCCATGATAAAGTGGTTTAAAAATAGGATAAGAGTTTTTTATGAATAAACATGTTTGAAACATTTATTGGCAAGATAATTTCACAAAACTGGTAAATTATTTCCAACAAACACAATGTCTAGTTGTTTTTTAAATTTTTAAAAACATATAAAAGCATTCAGTACGAAGACAGTGTAGTTTTGCCAGCTGTTCACAGCAAACGACAATGGAAAAACTGGAGGTTATGATGAAGTAATGGCAAAGAGCATCTTTTTTATCAGCTTCAAAACTGCCAAAAAACTTACAATGTTTTATTCTGAAACTAAAATTTGGATTATCACAGAGTAAGATTATTGTCTTTTCATTTACAAAGTTAACATCCACAATATCAATCATATCAATCATTAGATTATCTCAGGCTCAATCCAATTTTCTTAGTATATTTTAAAGCTCTTCCAAAGAATCAAAAGACCCAGGCCTAGGCCTAATTATTTAGAAGGGCCTATATATAAATTGATTAGGTTGCAATGAGGGTAGCAAAATCACTATCTAGTTCATAAGATTTAGATTGCATAAAGTACCTTCAACACAATAAAAAATACAGGAAACTAAAAAAACATTTAAGCCTTAAACAGCCGCATCTAACAATATAAGACAACATTGCGTTGGCAGAGTGTCCGTTTCCCATCCACGAATGTGTTACGTTCAGTTTATTCAATATTTGCCTAATAAAAAGAAAGTTCACACAGATAAATTTGTACAGTATCTATCAACATCACTTATAATAAACCAAACTTAGGTAAATCCATGTGGTTTGTTACACATTTAACATTATAGTGCTAATAAAAGTAAAATCTATGACAGTTATAACCTTTTGCAGGTTTATAAAGTGCAATTAGCAGAAAAAAGAAAACTAGGAAGGAGAAGATTAAAGCCCACAGGACCCCGTCAGAAGCAATTCCAAGTTAGCGATGAATTAAAAGTCAGTGTCCTTATCAAAGGTTAGCAGTTTATTTTCTTATTATTTTGAAAAGGATAAAAATGAAACAAATGTATTATTAACTGTTTAGATTCAGTCTGATGTTTAGTGTTTAGAGACATTTCTCCATATAATTGTTTAGGAAGCTTTTGTTTTATAACTATCAACCAATCACTTGAGCCAAACCTCCTTGTGAAATTATGAGAACAATTAATTTTGTAATAACAAAATTGCCAGCTAGTTCTTGACACATCATGTAAAACTTTTGGTCATGGTTGTTTGTATAGTTCACATAAACATACGACCAAATAAGTAACAGAAAAGTATTTCAATAGAAGAGTTACAAGTGTGTACATTCTTCTGCAAAAAACCCAATAACAATAATAATCATAATGGTTGCTAAGACAACATCAGCTGACGCTACACCAGTCCCACACCGAGAAAGGGAAACTATATATTCTGAAAAGTAAACCGAGGTCGGATTTGTCTTCCAGAACAAGTTTGATATGGCTTCGGTGGAGTTTGACAAGGTGGTAGGTTTGAGGTTTCCTCCGCTTTAAGTCCAGGTGGCACCAAACGTTTTGTAGGCTCAGGAATACAATTTTCATCCCCAACAATATAGGCTGGCTTGACCCTGTCCAAAGATACCTTAGTTTCTTGGCCTCTTACAATGATCGTGATTGTCTTGTCATCACGGCATATGACCTTGTAGGGACCAGAATATGGGGCCTGTAAAGATTTTCGTAAACTGTCTTGTCCCGAAGACAAAATCACAAGTGCTGAGGTTCTTGAAAACAAATGATCCTGGTTTGTTATGGTGTGATGCGGGTGGGTCTTTGGAGATTCATATGCTTACAAAGCCTGAACACCATTCCTTGCGGTTCGTTGTTCTCGAGGGAAGGTGCTATGAAACAATCTCCCAGAAGACGAAGTGATTCACCACACACCAGTTCCGCTGACAAAACAGAGATATCCTCCTTGAAAGATCTTATTCCGAGAAGGACTAAGGGCAGTACCTCGGTTCAATCTGATTTGTTGTGAGCCATTCTAGCTGCTTTCAACTGGGGATGGAGTCTTTCAACCATGCCGTTGGCAAGTGGATGCCAACTGGTGGTAAACTGGAGCTTTATTCCCAACTGTCGCACAAGGCTTTTGAATAAAGTCGATGTGAACTGGGATTTGCAATCATATGTCAATTTTTGTGGGCATCCAAATCAAGCTATCCAATTAGAGAAAAACGCACGAGTAACAGATTTGGCATTTATTTGATCAATAGGACAAACTTCAGCAATGAGTAAATCTATCTATGATAGTTAGACAGTACCTGCAAGACTTTGATAAAGGAAGTGGGCCAATTATAATTATGTCAATGTGGACATGAGAGAAACGTTCTGTAGGTGTTTGAAAATTACCAATGGGAGTAGAAACATGAGTTATCTTAGATTTTTGGCAGGAGACAAGCAATTTGTGGCAATCCTTACGAATCAATGGCCAGACAAAACAATTGATTATTTTACTAAGAATAATGTAAGCTATTATATTGATTTGAGCTGGGCTGAGGAGTTATTTTGACAAACTCGACGTGTGATGTGACAGTAGTTCCTAACTTGTGTAAGTTCGTGCGTTATTGAACACACTTTACATTCCATTGCCATTTGATGCATTTGGAATATTTGAATGAGATTTGATTTCACCTGGGATGTGGTGACATTCTATTTATTTTGGTTTATTTACTTGTTCCTTTGGTGGGGTAAGGAAATGGTTTGGTTACACCCAGACGCCCTAGTAAATGCGGAACAACAATATATAAGACAGAGGAATATTCGCCCTGGGTTCTCTGACCTTTTTAGCCACATCTACCAAGACAATAGTACAACGTCGACACTATTTTTTTATTTTTTTTTGGAAAACCCAGAGTTGGGTAAATAAATACTAGTTAATAGCACATTTAAAATTGAAAGTACAAAAATGGCAAAAATAAAAGTAATCATGGTGCACCAGGTCTGTCCGACATCACGATACACATGATAACTGTCTGATAATTTATAACAAGTGCAAGCTCAGTCTAGACTCCATATTTTTTTTTTTTTTTTTTTTATTGGGTTTAGGGTAAGGAGGTTGTGGGTAAATTGCTAAGCAAGTGTGTGTCGTTACAGTCCATTGTTGAGTTTACATTTAAATGCCAGGGCAGCCAAATCCATAATCCAGTCGTCTGCACCATTATTATTTGCAGCTTGCAGGTGCTTATTATTGACTAGTCAAGTACGGCACACTTATTCGGCCATTCATTATTATGGATTTTCAAGGACTGAGAGTGTAAGTATGTGCACATTTTTATTATTTTTTTTTAGTTTTTTTTTTTACACAACGTGAATTTACATTTTGAATGAGTGTTGAATAATTAATGACGGAATAAATAAGATAGGGAATTTGACTTCATGATCTGAAATCTATATATTTAATACGCTAGGCATATTTTTGTCATAATTGTTTTGGAGTGGTGGTGCTACCGATCACCTTGGTGTCGTTAGAAAGGTCTTAGCATGTAGTTCTGCCATCAAACAAAATAAATTTGGAATTCCATCAGGGCTTTGCCCCAGTGGCCTTCAAAGTTCCCATGTTATTCTTAGGGATTGTTTACATTTGAACAGATAATTACTTTAAAATTGACACTGATATTTGAAACAGCTGGTTATACTAAAATTTTGCACAAAATCAAAACATAACCAAAAAACGTTTGACGTTGACCAGGACGGCCAATAGGAGGAGGCCGACGAACTTTAACTGGTAGACGTGAACGAAATACAAATAATACTATTGTCGTTGATAGATAGCCGAATACAGCAAGCACCCATCCATGTTGGGTTTAAGTGTGCTCTCCAACAGCCGATGAAGATTTCACATTCAATTTAGGACTGTTGGATATTCGCTGCATAAGCTGTTGATTTTGGAAGACAAGGAGGCGGGTAGGACAATACATCTGAAACAGAAGAGAGGAGATATTAGATGAGTGGCAAATGCGTTGGGGTTGGGAGCAGAGTGTTTTATGTTAACGTTTTAAAGGTAAACGTTCGGATATACAGGGTGTCCCGGAACTCTCTACCAATATTTTAGGACATTGCTCCCGGGTAAGAAATATACCTAAATATCATATTTAAACTGTCCGAAAGTCCTTAGTTACTCACACAGCCGCCATTTCTGAACAAATTACATTTTTTTAGCCATAAGCAGTTTGGATTTATAAAAGGCAGATCAACGGAAAGTGCATTATTAACTGTGACAGAGTTAATATTTAATGGCTTTAATTCAAATAAAAAAACCACAGGTCTCTTCATAGATTTCAAAAAAGCGTTTGACATGGTCAACCATGAGATTCTTATCAATAAGCTAGAGGCTGCAGGAATTAGAGGCATAGCTTTAAATTGGTTTCGTAGTTTTATTACAGGAAGAAAGCAGCAAGTTAAAATCAACAACAACATTAGCGATTCACTCATTGTTCAGACGGGTGTTCCCCAAGGGTCAACGACCTCTGCAACCCTGTTCCTAATATTCATTAACGATCTTCTTGAACTTGATTTTAAAGGAAATATAAATGCTTTTGCAGACGACATTGCTCTTTTTTACACTCAAAATGATACTGTTCTCCTTTCAGATTCAATCAACTACGATCTTTTATTACTCAGAAAATGGTGCTCCATAAACAAAATGCAAGTAAATGTTAGTAAGACAAAATATGTTAATTTTGACTTCTTTGGTTTTGACACCCCTTCTCCTTTAATTTTTCATTCCCCTACCTGCAATATCCACTTATGTACCTGCCAACCATTAGAAAAAGTTAAATCGATTAAATACTTGGGAGTTTTGCTTGATGAAAAACTAACTTTTGAACACCATATTTTAGAACTACACTCAAAATTAAGATCACAAATTAGAAAATTCTATTTTCTACGAAATTTTTGTAACACTTCACTTTTACGAACACTTTATTTTGCATTGATAAATTCAAGATTACAATATGCCTTGCCTTGCTGGGGAGGTACTTACAAAACATTATTAGAGAAGATTAGAACAACTCAAAATTTTTTCTTGCGAATAATTCTCAAAAAACCTAAACGAACTAGCTCTTTTCCATTATACCAACAGTTATGCATTCTACCAGTTCAACATCTTTTTATTTTTAAAGTCCTGAGATTGTTCTTCATCCGGAGCGGAAACAGAGAAAATATAATTCCAAATCATCCTTACAGTACAAGAAGTTTTGCAAATAAATCTATCAAATTACCCAAAGTAAACAAAACTTTTTTCAGACATTCATTTCAATACTTGGGTCCAAAATTTTACAATCAGCTTCCGCTTCATATTAAAAATACAACAAATTTCAAACACTTTTGTAAAAGAACAATCACTTGGCTTAGTTCTCAACAGGATGTAGGTTATCTTGCCAACTCTTTGGTATAAGATTGTGTTACTGTTACCTTATTTTATGTGTATTTTGTTAACACTTTCTTAGTCTAAGTTTTGCCCAGATGTTACAGCAGGCGGATAAAATATTTGTCATCTGATGCTAGGCTCAACAATTTATTATTTATTATGTATGATTAACCTTTTAACTGGCCACACTACTTGAAAAAGTGACCAGTTTACATTTCTCAACAATTATTATGTTTGTAAAGTGTTTTGTATTATGGGAAATAAATTCATTTATTCATTCATTTATTCATTTTGTTTTTTTCAGTTATTAATTTTTTTCTTAAGAATGGCTAAACATACGAAATGGAAACTTTGCACAAACATTTATGACAACTAGACAAAGCTACCAAAAGATTTTGAGGATTTTTCAAATTCATAAAACAAAATAGCGGCCGTTTAAAATTTTGTTTCTTAAATAATTCGAAAACCATTGATTTTCCAAAATTTTAAAGGGCCCCCATTTTGTTTTATGAATTTGAAAAATCTTCAAAATTTTTTGGTAGCTTTGTCTAGTTATCATAAATGTTTGTGCAAAGTTTCCATTTCGTATGT